TTGCGTAAAATCCTTATTATAAATTTTATTTTCGAAACGTTTTAACGCGCAGTTCCGAAACCGAACGTATTCATTCCGATAATTTTAATTTCTTTTCGATTCGATGCTCTGCACATTTTCCTAGCCTATTATAGGTCGCTCGACGTCGTAGATCGTTGAGCTCCAAATGTTCTGTTCGTGCCGTCAGTATTCTACGCCGAAACAGAATTATCCTCGGCTGTGCTCCATAACGCGCGTGTAACGGAATCCTGATGATGCAGTCGAACCCGACGATTCGTCGCGGAATAAAGAAATATACCGAAAATCAACTGGAATATAATCACGAAGATCTCTCTCAGAGAAGAAATGTATAATGTATCCGATTACACTCTTGCTGAATAGCGAGCCGCTGAGTCGGCGCGAAACTCAACGAAAAATTTTGAAGAAGGAAACTTTGTTGTTGTTGCGGTAATAAATTGTTAATTAATCTATAAAATTTTAGGCATTAATGGATTAAACAAACTTTTTGCTAAATAGATCTCTACGAAGGCATATCACATTGTCGAGACCATCCGCGTTGTCGCCTCTCGAAGTTTCGTGTCTTCGTCCCCTAAAATCGGACATGTAATATGAATGCAGGATGAGTTCGCGGCCACGTGAAACTCACCGGCAATGAGATAATGAGTCAAAAACCAGTCAGAGTGCATGGTACACGCGAAGCTCTTCGTCCAGACACGAATTAAAGGATCTAATGATCGTTTTTGTATATAGCGAAAAATGTTACGCAGAGATTGTAAAATCGGTTTCCATGGCCTAGCCTCATGTCCCCGTCCGCGGCTGAACTTTAGCGCAGAGTTGTTGAGTATTACACACGAATACATGTATACATACACACATACAAAATAAATATAGATACATGACATTTTATTACATTTACCAATTGTTAGCTTAGTATTTATTAACCATTAGATGCATCCACATTGAGCACTGTTGAGCAAACCGATAATCGCGTTGTACGTAGCGTACCCTTCGGAAATTTGCGAGACATAAGTGCATTAGATGCAAAATTGATAGATTAGCCGCTTTTCGTAAAGGCAGGTCGGAATAAATTCAGCCGGAAGCATCTGTGTTTGTTAGATGTTTTGTATAAAACAAGAGAATTGAGCCAATAAAATATTCTACAAAATACTAATCGCATTCTTCTTCTCTTTGTTCCAAAGATAAATGTATATACTAACAGCACACAATATATACTTTCCATACAGCATAGAATTTGCAACAATATCGCTACAAAATCTCTGCAACATTGCTGCAACATGCGATGTTGCAGCAGTGTTGCTGCAACTTTTGTGCAACATTTGTGCTGCATGTAAGAACTTTATCTGATAATTATATAATGGTAATTGCTAGAAAATTATTTAAGTAATCTTATCAAAAGAAAAAAAGAAAAAATTATACAAGAATTAGTTCTGTTGAAATTAATGAACTGACCTGTAATTTCCATTTTCAATCCGTCCGGATGCATCCAGATATTTTATTCTTGTTATTCACGAATGTTAAATAGGTGATTTGTCTTTGTTCTTGCAGACTGCATTAAAACTCCCTTTCTCACTTTAAGTTCCAAAAATGTACTCAGCCACAGAAAACAAATGAACTGTGATGATAGAACTATGGATAAAACAATATCTAGATACTCAGATGATGATTCTAAACACAGTCTAGCTTTGCAACTGTTGTAAAATTCTTTAATACGATTGGTTTATACATTATTTAGATCCAGTGAGGAACTAAGAACAAAATCAATCACATTAAAGAATTTTATAACAGTGCAAAGCTACTTTTACTCGTATTCATAGTCAGGCCTTATATTATATTTAAGGCTTCTTTAAATTTACCTTTAGATACTGTACTTTTTTATTTCATTGGTTGCTGAGCATCTAAAGATAAATTTAAGGAAGCCTTAAGTACAAGGTCTGACTATGAATACGGGCATTTATCTGCTGAACGCAGCCATTTAAATTGAGGGTTTTTAGTAGGAACTGGCGCATGCGCCTATATAACCTGCAATGTAGCAGCAAGTTCGTGACGTGAGATCGAAAATGTTTCGTTCTGTTACACGTGAGTTATTTTACCAGGAATTATATTAATTGCCGTTAAATGATCGTTCCAATGCTGACATACTTTAATATTTAATCCCACATCAAATAAAATTCCGCATACATCTAGACCGCGGATGATCGATATCGTTTTGAAGCAAACTTCAATTTTTGCTCACTTTTCGTTTTAATCTCGCACTATTGCATAAGATTGCACTCTGATATACATCACAAAACTTGATGCGCATTTATTTATTTGCATAGTTACATAGTTTATTTCGAAATGTTTCGACTGATTAAAATGCCGATCATAACCTTCTCAATACATTTAAGATAATATTTAATAAAAATTTAATTATATTTAATTATTTGTATTAATTATTTTACATTTTATTTCTCTTTATTTCTTTTTTTTTTATAGATAATGTCCCTCAGGGACTGGTGTGCCTGGTGCGTAATAATGTAGCAGCATCAGGACCTGTTACTGCTGCTACATTGAAGGTTCAGACAAAAGACATGGCTACAGAGACATCAGTGCAGGAAGCAAAGACTCAGCTGCCAGAGAAACCGAAAGTCGAGCCATACAGTCCTTTTCAAAAGCCCGGTAACATGGCAGAGTATGCCTTGGCCAGAGCGGATGATTTATTAAATTGGGGACGTAAAGGATCGCTATGGCCAATGACTTTTGGTTTAGCCTGCTGCGCCGTGGAGATGATGCACATCGCTGCGCCTAGATATGATATGGACAGATTTGGCGTGGTATTTCGCGCCTCGCCACGACAATCAGATGTTATTATAGTTGCTGGCACTTTAACGAATAAAATGGCACCTGCCTTAAGAAAAATCTATGATCAGATGCCTGAACCGCGATGGGTTATCTCCATGGGAAGTTGTGCGAATGGAGGTGGATATTATCATTACAGCTACTCAGTGGTTCGGGGTTGCGACAGAATAATACCTGTGGACATTTACGTACCTGGTAAGTTTGTAGTTATAGTTATATTCTTCTTAGTTAAAAGAGTATATGTATAATACATATTTATATAATATAAACTTTCAATATTGTAGGTTGTCCCCCAACAGCTGAAGCATTATTGTATGGTATTCTTCAATTGCAGAAAAAGATTAAACGTATGCAATCCACACAAGTTTGGTACAGGAAGTAAAGTACCTGATATTATAGTAAAAAATGTATAAATTATTAAAAAATTGTATGATAATTGATAATTAAGCAATAGAGGAGTTGTATATCATTTAAAAATGTGATTATCGAAATAAATCACATTTCAATAAAAATAAATTTTTTTTTATTACCATACATCAGTCTTGTTTACTTCATATGTACATTTATTTGATTAAAAAAAAAAAAAGCTGAAACTAGTTTATTTGCATCATTATATTATCGTTGTAATGAATTAAATAAATACATATTGATCATATATATATATATATATATG